TTCGATGTGAAACAACACACGTTTCAGCCCTCAAAATGTCTGCAACATTCTCTTCCACCAATTCGAATGTAATGTGGTTTTTGGTGAGTGACAACATTTTGACACCATCGCGATCGAATTTGGTTATGGTGGTAACGGCAGGATCATATTCATCAATGAAACAGGGCGAGGGTGCTTCAAAAAAGTCTTGTTGTACCTCATACAGCGAATCGATGAAGGTGACCCATTCATATGTGGAGAACGAAATTTTTGCTGGATGGAAGGGTTTCTTCAGGATGATGCTCCGACTAAACTGTCTAGCTGGACTGAGCCGCACTGAATCATGTAGGTGGACAACTGAAAAGATGAAGTCAGCAGAAGGTACGATTCAGCTTTCGTTGCTTGCTCAACCATCTCCGAATACGTATCAACGTCACCATAATAATCCATCATTGCCAATGAACTAGTACTACCGTTTTCGGAAAACACTTCACAAGACAAATAACCAGAGTCGATACTCATTGCTATCAAACTAATGTGTTGGATCGGGTCGGTCCTCACTATTTATACCACCACTGCCAACACGTCACAACATCCGATAATGGTTGTTATTTGTCAGCTATCGACGTGAAAGGCCCCTCACTTCCATTGAATTTGTGCTAGTTTTCCATATGACTACATTATAACTTGTTGGTGGAATCAATCCAGCTGTTGTGTATATCATCGAATCCCAGCTATTTGACAAACACCTTTTTACCCCTCTTCCACAAAACTTTTTCCACTAGGTAAACATCGGAATTTTGAGTTTTTTGCAATTCTTCAGGATAAAAGGCACCTTTGATTAGTGTACCTCGCAAATCTTCCAAGATGTATGTAGTGGGTTTCGTAATACAAACTTCTACGATTTTAAATAGTTCGGTAGTCCAATTTGGTGTATAATTCTTTTCGAAAACATTTTTGGCTTTGCTTATTCTCACAATGTCACCAACGTCGAATTTTCTGGTTCCAGCAATTTTGATGTGATTGTACGTGGATTTCAAAATATTTTGTTCGTTGGCTTTGTTGACGTCCCTGGGCTCGCATCTAATCGTCGTATGTTTCGTGTTATTATAATTTTTCGTGATTTCAGGCAGGAAATCTATCCAACGGTATGAGCCATTCAAACTAAAGTACTTGTATAGCTTTTCCTTCAATGTCCGTATAACACGTTCAGCAATGACTGCCTTCATTATGGTGTACGTATGATAATGGTTGATGGGGAACTTTTTCATCAGACTTTGAAAAACTTTTCGTTGTAGAATTCGGTACCTTGATCGGTTTGCAAGTTCTTGGGAACTCTGGTGTTGCCAGCATGTGATAGGATATCTGCAAATGCTCGAGCAATTCCAGTACCAGTTTTTTATTTCAATGGTCGAGTCCATAGGTAGTTGGAAAAACAATCAATCACAACCATTATCAGCTTATGATCCATATTCACAGAGGCATAGGGTTGCATTTCGGCCAGATCCATTTGCCATAGGTCATCCAAGCCTTTGATGATGATGCGACGTCTCGGGAATTTCTTACGTGCAGGTCTATGTAATTCATTAACGAGTTGAATTTTTTCTTCAGAATGTAACATGTTGACAACGTGGATAATGATGTAAGGAACGATGACACAAGGAGTTTATATGATTCGCACAGGAGGTTTTGTTTTTGGTGGCGGTTGTGGTGGTAGTGTCACAGTCGAAGATTTTGGAGCTGCAATATTGGTGATATCCGTTTTATTTCATATTTCTCATATCATCATACTGTTATCTTATTTTAGTATTGTATAAACTATTTTCCATTCCGTTTTTCAAACGATACTCGTATTTTATTTTAGTATTGTATAAAAAATTTGTATTCCTTATTTTTTCAAAAATTTTCATTATATTACCAAACTTTTTAACGCTTTTTTCACATTATATCATTATATTATCAGAGTCTTTTGAATATTTTTTATTACACTTAGGATATAGAAACAATCAATTGACTTTTCTGTGTATTCTTTCCCCTTGAACCCTCACACTCACACACTTGACTTGATGTGTACGAGAAAGAGAGCGAGAGAGAGGGAGAAAAAGAGAGGGAAAGTGTTGTAATAGGATGTGAATTGAAGGTATGGACGTGTAAAACAGTTGTATCATGTCTTCTGGCGAATACAGACGTGTACTAAAAAAATTTGGTTCGAAGGTTAGACAGCTCAGTGCAGACATCCAATTGTATGAGCAGAAAGTTGACCTGTTTGAAGATTTCGAGCAATTGAGCGTTTGGGACAAGGTGTTTACGGAACCGAGACGCACAGCTGCACCTATATTGAGAAGAAGAATTCAACCAACACAGCTACTAGATGGCGATACTGAAAGCAAGCTTCATTCTATTGACAGCTCTGAGCAACAACGTCTTTTACACAAACATACCGTACAATACGAGGAATGCAGCCGTATGTTTTGATGTGAATCGTACACAACAGTGTGATTGGGAGATGATGAGTAGAATGTATGTCAATGATAACAAACTACCTGTATATTCATTCGACATGTAGCAACATGTTAATGAAAACAGCATCGACTACAAATTGAAATTATCGTTTTCTGATGGCAGTGACGGCGAAATGGGAGACTGGCAGACACTTGCATTAAAAAAATCATCCGCAAAATTGGATCAAGATACTGTCAATGTCATTGAAATTTTGACACTTTGTTTTACACTTATATGTTCACTTATTTCAATCTCAAATGTTATTGTTGGAATACTAAGAAATAAGGGATGTGATGAATAAAAACTCTGAAATTATTAAATATTTTCTTATGTCGGCAGTCGAGACTCATTATGCTAATGACTAAAGTATTGTACGTTATCGATAATAGTCGGCACCTTGCCTCGCCAATTAGCCCCGTCACTCACAGACATGCCATGGAAGTGTCACGGAAGTGTCACGGAAGTGCTCAACAGGCGGATGACCTGTCTCTCTTGATGGAATCTAGAAGCATTAACGTATATGTGGTTGCTGAACCCCATATGTGGAGACAGTATTCTAAAACAGGTCGTATAATCGAACAAGATTCAAAAATACTATTTATTCCAACTAAAATACCAAACGACCTCTACACGATTTATGCTCAAATCTTATTTCATCTCCTTTCCTGGAGCTTGCTCCTTCTATTATTCCACCTCTTCTCAGAATGTCGAAGTTGCTGTCATCTCTTGGTGAATACTGTGTACTTTCATGGACATTCTGAATGTGAGACGAATGCTCGACAGGACGCGAATCCTCACTTGGCTTGATCATCTTCACACATGCTGTATTTGAACGCTTCATAGGTTCTCTGATATCAGTCAGTTGTTCAAGCGCCAAATATTTATTTCTTACGATTTCAGATAGGTCCATAATTTTCTGATCTCTATCTCCGATTTTATTCTCACGAGGGTCATCCGTGATAGTATCGTTTTGACTCAATCGCTGACCAATCCCAGAGTTTGATTGGATTCGCGTCAATAATTGTTGATCAATATCAGTAGAGTTTGACTCGTTTCTTTGACCGATCTCAGTGGTGATCAATTGGTTTTGTTGATTAACCGGCTCGTTCCCTTTGTGCTTTCTCGCCAAATGTTTTTTCATACTATCCGATCTTGTGAATTTTTCCATACAATAATGACAGTTGAAAACTTTTTCATCATGACTATCCATATGCCGCTGCAAACCATAGGCCCTCTTGAATGTCTTGCTGCAATGCTGACAAGCAAACATCTCAAGACGTAATATTTCTCCTTCTCACTATGATGTTAGCCATAAGAAGTCAGGACAGCGACTGTTTTCCCCCGATACACCTTGCCACACCGTCATTTACCCAGCCACACTGCCATTCACACCGCCATTCAACCCCGCCACACCGCCATTCACACCGCATATCACCCCACCACGCTATCATTTACCCAGCCACACGGACATTCGCACCGCCACACCACCATTCACCCTGACACACCGCTATTTACACCGCCATTCACTCTGCCACACCGCCATTTACCCAGTCACACTGCCATTTACACCGCCACACTGCCATTCACACCGACACACTGCCATTTACCACCGCCTCACTGCCATTCACACCACCATTCACACTGCCATTCACCCTACCACACTGCCATTTTACCCCCACCACACAATCATTAACTTCTGTCACATGATCACACTGCAAGTTAGCCATGTCACTCGTATAGAGTGACGTTTTATTCTTGTGACGCATGCTCACTCCTCTTTTTGAGTGTTGGTATTTTATTTTGATTTGCGAGAACTTGTGAAATTGAAACAATACTTGAATCTTACACTACTCTTCAGTTTCAGCATTTTCGGGTACTTCTAGCCATCATTGTACAACAAAATCGGTCCACGATGCCATTGAAATGACAAAAAAAAAAGGGGGATACACAGCCATTGAATGGCAATAGAAGTATCATGTTTTCTTGCTGACTGTACGAGAAGTCCCTCCGCTGAAGTGTGCTATTGCCTGTGAAAGCATGAGTAGGAGGAGGAGGAGGCCCTGATAAAGTATGAAGGGTGGGTTTCTTGAAAAACAAAGTAGGTATTTCATTTATTGCAATGAAGTCGTTTTTCGTTAATATTAGAGTATATTCATATTTATGTCTTCATACATTTCAATGAACACAGACTATTCCATTCCTTTGAACAACGTATTTGAGGTTTTCGGTTCCATGCCTAATATTATCTATGCATGAAAATTGATTATTTTCTCAACACACATGCTTGGACGTCATACTGAGAACAAGGCTGAAAATTGATCAACATAATAATACAAAATAATATTTAATCATTTATTCGTGAAGTGATACAAGTTTCAGAAGCAATGTTTTCATTTGATAAAGTAATTCATCATTGGGGCAGGATATTCCAAAGATGCTCCAGCTGAACGGTCCGGCTTTCACAACCCGTCTAGTATATTCACTGTATCTGTAGTACGTATTTCTATCGAAAAAATATATTATATTCTCGTCGATATAACGAAAAGCTGATATTTTGCCTGCAGGAATTCCTGGGAAGCATCGAATGCAATGTAAGAATCGTTGTTATATAACAAATAAGCCTGTCCACTGTTTGTCTGGTAGACAGCATTAATTTTTGCTCCAGAAGGCAAAGGAAAATTAAAGTTTTGGTGGATTCGAAAATTCGGAAAAGATGCTGCATAATACACGCTATCGTTTATCAATGTCACTAGATCACTTCCAGAATTTTGGAAGACATGAGAAACTCTAGAATCCTTTAGATTTTCAGGGAGATAATCATCAAGCAGCTCTGGCTGTGATGGAATTCGCATATCGTTCAAATCGATCTTCCACAAAAATCTATTGTATCCCACGTACATGCGATAATTTTGAAACTGGGGTGCTGTGGCTAGAAACATAAAGTCTGGCACTTGAATTTCGCATAATTTTGTTGGAGTTATCTGAGGCTTTGAGGTTGTGCTAGTAACGTCTATGTTATGGGGTTCATTTGATGGCACTGATGAAGCTGTGGTAGAGGTATGCTGGGATATTGGTTTTTGGGATTCGGTTGTCTGCGTTGTCGAGGTTGTTGTTGGTTGATAGTTTTCAGTTTTCTGCCCATACAAATATTCTATTGTCATCTTATCATCTATATCGAATAATGCTGGACTCGCTTGATACCAAAGATACATAATAGCTGTATTGACACCACTGTGGCTCAGCCCAAGAGCATGGCCAATTTCGTGCATCAGAACCATCAATAAACTAGTTTGGCCATCAGGAGAAGTACTATTTCCAAGATACCATTTTCTTCTGGATCAAGATGAATCTCAATACACTTGTTGTTTTCATTTGGGAAAAATGCATGAGCTAAAACTTTCCCGGGACCGTCGAAATTATGTGGACACTTGGAAGTGCCTTGACAATTTGCTCGGAAATTATGATTTTTTCGAATAACAGTTAGGGTTATATCAGGTTTCTGTCTGCTAGGGTTCCGCACATTTCCGAACTTCAAATTTGATAGCTCCTCTCATCTATCGAATGCCATCTTGACTGTATCACGATGCGCCTGTTGAGCTTGAGGAAAATACCAACGTAACTTTGTTTTGTTTCATTTCGAATGTATCATGAAATTATTTCCTCCTACAGAACAGCGAGGGCTATTTAACAGTCGTATAGTTTCGTTATTCAGCGTGTCACTCACAGGGAGATTGTACATCTCTTGAAATGCCAATAATGCTGATTCTATGTCGGTGTATCATTCCCGGTAGAAGAAACTGACGCTATGATTGAGAGCAACAGCACATGCTTACTCTTCAACATCTTGATTAACACTGATCAATATAGTGAGAGGAACATGATTATTGTGATCCTTCTATGTATTATATCGTCGATAATGATGGTTTACACCGAATTTATATATTCGAACTTTCCACCCTACTCGCCTTAGGAACCTCATGTCATTCTCTATATCTCTGTTGTTGATATTTCAGATTATGTCGTAGGTCTGAGGATGACGAAGCGTTACAGAAAATATTCCAACCGCTGACATCACCTTCAAACAAACTGCCACCACATCCAAGGTGATCGAGGAAAAACTAGATGGAACACTTTCAAACATCAAGCGAAGCAAACAAAAAAGTCGTTGGGGTTGAAAAAGTTTATATCAATGAAATTGGTTGAGATTCCACCTTTGAAGATCTTGGAAACACTTTCTATGATGAACTCAGTCGTTTAATGAGTTTTGGTATAAAGTTGCCCAACATATTTTAAGGTTAACGACGGAAGAATGTGTTGTCTGGGCTCACCGTGTTCATCTGACTGGTATTGCTAGTGATGGAATGATAGCAGAGATAACTGAAAATCATTTCCCGTGGAAGTATCTGTAGAAAAGTGAAAAGGCGCCGACTTTCCTGTGATGTTTCAATGTTGTTGATGAATTAACATTTCCCGTGGAAGTATTTGTAGAAACGTGAGGGGTCGTCAAGTCATTTATGATGTTCAGATGTTTTCTAAGAATTAGTGAGTGTGGCATCGCTCACCAGGCGCATTACTTGTCTCTCTGGTATGGCTTGTTTCTATGTGTGAGTGCTTAACCCATATTATGAGAAACAGTATTCTAAAACAGGTCGTATCTGTATTTTGTAGAGTAGTTTGTTGTCTGGAATAAAAATTCCAGTTTTTGTGAAGCAGCGTTCGTGATAGAAGTTTGTGTCATATACTGTTTGGACTCGATTGTCATTTATAATAAGCATAGGGAATCTTGATATCGGTTTGAAGTGAATGTCACCTTGTGATTATTCTATTTTGATGAAGTCGGGCAATATTTCGAATGATAGCCGAGATACGATTCTGCGAGGAATTTAATGTAATTTGAAAGAAAAACAGAAAAATAAGCCACTTACCAATTTCGTTGAACAACAGCTATATATCCATAAATGAACGAGTATATGCAGCAATGACCGCTCCATTCTAATTTTCCACACAGATAGAATTTCACCTCACAGATGTTTTTTCTGGCAATGAAACCACACTGAATCCTATGTCCAACACGAATAGAGATTGAAATAAGACTCCGATAACAGAGAAATATTGTTATTCGAACTTTAATCACTCACACACACAGGAAATGAGCCATGCAGATATCATTAACCATAATCTACAACAAGCTAATGAATGACCTATTCGATATTGCATTTAAATGTTTTTTGCATAGATAATCTGTTACCTAAATTTATTATGTTATTGGTATACAGGGCGGCTCAAAAACTATAAATGCCTTTAAATGAGCGTGGTTTCGTTATCTAAATATTTTTCAGCATGGATAATCTACTTTCAAGTTTCTGTTATTGATGGTATACAGTGTGGTTCATAAACTAGGAAAGCTTTCACACTGTTTTTCGTTTTTCTCTACAGATTAGCCCTATGTATGATATTGCGAAAAGTGAATGGAAATGAAATCATGTGATTAGATCAAGCTATATTACAAAAATAGATAATGTGAAATGTCAGTCAGTTGAAGACAGTCAGGAAAATCACATCGCATCTCCGGCCAATCTACACAATGGAATAAAATATTATTCTTTTATGGATCAAAAGCTATAAAGAAAATCGGGCAATTACATGTGGAAGATGATGACGTCATGACAGATGTATTGATCGATCAGTGGTACCAAGATCAGAACATATCCTGTTATATATTATTTATGTGGACGGGTTTCCGACATCTCTTGCCCTAATGTCTAGCATGAACTTTGACCCTTTGGGAAAACATAATTAACCGAAAACTCTAAATTTTATCTATACTATGATGGAGTATCGGAGAAGAGGATTTGAATCTAAACTAATACTACACATCAAGAAGATGGATCAATTTTCAGCCTTTTGTTCAGACATTGGATCTGAGAAATTATTTGAAAAATGTTTGTGTATTAATTATGGTGATATGAATGGTTCTGTGATGTATATAGGTATCCATAATAAAAAAGATTTAAGAAAAGTTTATTATTTAATTCAAAATCGCAACTAAATCACAATGAGTCGTTATACAGGGTGTTTTTCAAAATCATATAGTCACATGTCTGATCAACAAATACAGACTAAAGTAAGTGGAGTTGACTAGTCATTGCGTGTTATTCTCAAATAACAAAAAAAATACGGATAATTTTCAATCATTTATTTTAGATATGGCAGCATTTTCAAGTTCAGTGAGAATAAGGTTGATTGTTTTGTGATATTCCATCAAATATCTCAGTCTATCTACCAAGACATTCGGATCTGTCCATCCATCTAAAATATTGAACTCGTCATTCCCACTACTGACTTCAGGTTCCACTCTCGACTTTAAGCGTTTAGACTGGGTCTTATTTTCGAAGAGTGGTTTGATAACTTCATTGAATTTCTTTTTATCAGCGTATCCGGCCCAATCGATCTCTATGAATAGCGCTGATTTCCAGCATCTGTTTATACATCTGGTGATCCAAAGGCGTGAAATTCTGAGGGTTCTTGGGAAATAATATTTACAAAGTACTTCTGAAATCGACATTATCTACGACTATGTGTTTATCATCAAAGCGTGAATTCTTATGGCCGAGTGTCCATCTACCATCATATCTACCAACATATCTCGGTCCATAAGCATTTTCATAATCTGCACATTAATATTCATCTAATGCTTGCTCTGATGAATGGGGCTCCATGATGTGGACGCTATGGTGTCTGATCTTCTTCTTCTTCTTCTTCGAAGCACTGGTGGGCGGGTGAACCCCCTGCACGTGGGCCTCCTTATTCGGGCCCATTGTGCGCCCACATGGTGTCTGATATACGAATGAACATTCGATTACATCTGTAGGTATCTGTAGGCTTCTGTAGGTATCTGCAGGCATCTGTAGGCATCTGTAGGAATCTGTGGACATCTGTAGGAATCTGTGAGCATCTGTAGGCGCGATCTGTAGGCATCTGTAGGCATCTGTACGTATGATCAGATGATTTATGTGAACGCAATTGTCTAATCAGTCCGATTATTCATGAACAGGAGTGATGGACATTCCTCATATGGCGGTACATGTCAGTTCTAGTCATGAATTTTACACATTTCTCACACAATAGCTGATGTCTATTATAGGAAAATTTTCTCTTTTCAAAACTTCCCCAGGTGTCATTGATGTTGAATTGAATCCGCTCTCCACTATTGAGGCATTCTATTATAAAACAATTATTACAAAGTTCTCGTACAGTACACAGCTGATGACAGCGCTCACAAATATTAGCCATAACTACTCTATAAGACAGTTGGATGTGGAATGATCTAATGGATAGTGGAATAAGTAATAATGAACGGATATCACCAATATTGCAGCTCCAAAATCTTCGACTGTGAGACTACCATCACAACCGCCACCAAAAACAAAACCTCCTGTGCGAATCATATAAACTCCTTGTGTCATCGTTCCTTACATCATCATCCACGTTGTCAACATGTTACATTCTGAAGAAAAAATCCAACTCGTTAATGAATTACATATACCTGCACGTAAGAAATTTCCGAGACGTCGCATCATCATCAAAGGCTTGGATGACCTATGGCAAATGGATCTGGCCGAAATGCGACCCTATGCCTCTGTAAATGGGAATCATAAGCTGATAATGGTTGTGATTGATTGTTTTTCCAAGTACCTATGGATTCGACCATTGGAATCAAAAACTGGTACTGAAATTGCTCGAACATTTTCAGATATCCTATCACATGCTGGCAACACCAGAGTTCCCAAGAACTTGCAAACCGATCAAGGTACCGAATTCTACAACGAAAAGTTTTTCAAAGTCTGATGAGAAAGTTCTCCATCAACCATTATCATACGTACACCATAATGAAAGCAGCCATTGCTGAACGTGTTATACGGACATTGAAGAAAAAGCTATACAAGTACTTTAGCTTGATTTGGCTCATACCGTTGGATAGATGTCCTGCCTGAAATCACTAAAAATCATAATAACACGAAACATACGACGATTAGATGCGAGCCCAGGGACGTCAACAAAGCCAACGAACAAGATATTTTGAAATCCACGTACAATCACATCAAAATTGCTGGAACCAGAAAATTCGACGTTGGTGACATTGTGAGAATAAACAAAGCCAAACATGTTTTCGAAAAGAATTATACACCAAATTGAACTACTGAACTATTAAAAATCGTGAAAGTTCGTATTACGAAACCTACTACATACATCTTGGAAGATTTGCGTG